CAAAATCCTAAATCCTCTAGGTGAAAATGCTTTCATTCTTGGATTCTATACCCAGCTAAAAGGTTACATAGCATGAACATAGAATTAAATATTTTCAGACATTCAGTGTTTTATCATTTAACCTATAGTTTACTCTATTTCAGAAAACTTCTAGAGGACATATTATACCAAAAGGAGTGATAATTTTTAAAAAAATATTGGTACCAGAAGAAAAGCTATTATAGAAGTTCCTAGAAAAATGGCAAAAAGAAGTCCATTATAGCAGCTGTACAGCAAGATTTCTAGTCTAAATGAAGCAATAAGCTTGAGGATTCCAGAAGAAATATTTCCAAGAAAATCAGTAGAAACTAACTGAACATTTTACATTTTCACAGAATTAAAAACTCTCAAACAATTTGTTATTATCATGGGACTGGTATGTAGAAAGTTATCCAAAGAAAACAACACAATTATTAAACTTAGGTCAACGTATAGGAAACAAAATTAGTACAGGAACAAATTTATAATTATAATATAATATGTGACTCAACTGTGAGTAATTGCTACAGAGCCATCATAATATAAACACTGAATATTGTATTAAAACCATACTACTATTCAGCTACAAAGATAGAAATAATAAAAATGTATATGGAAGGAAGTTGTAGAGAAGAAAGAGGAAAATCTGTCTTCCATGTTATGAAATTAAAGAGCATTTAAAGTGGAAAAACAAAAAAAATCACAATATTTTTTGTTATTTCAAAATACAGAGGAGATAAGTGAAAAGTATTATAATTATTAAAATAGCTTCTTTATAGGAGTAAAAATGAGAAGTGGAGAGGGAAAGCAGGAGACTTCTGTTTTTATCTCATAAACCTATTGAAAAAACTTGAGTTTTTAAAATTATGCTTTTATAAATATGAAACTTGAAAAAATAAAATACTTGTGTTCACATGTGTCCACATGCTGCCTTCTAGACATGAGTCATTTTAAAAGCCATTCTACTAATTTCCATTTCTCACAGTCTGCATCAAATTAAGGGAACCCACAAGAGAGAACTTTAATCCAATAAATACTGAGTGAGTGGACAAAGCCAAAACCGAGTCCGAAGTTGAGTGACAGCAATATGTCAGGAAATCTCTTCTGGAGGAGCAGTTGTCGTTGCATTGCTGCTCTGCCTGCTGTGACTGGTAAGACACCCCTGCTGCAGGATATGCCCATACCACACCCTGGATTTTGATTTTCCTCCAGGTATCATCCTAGCTGGATGCTTTACAATTAAAATGCATAGGATCAGGAGTTTCTAGGTGTCTTTCAAGCATTGAGCAAATGTTTTGATGTATCATTCCTTCCCATAACTGTCCATGAATATCACAGGAACAGTGGGCTTCTGTAACAAATTACCAAAAACTTGATGGCTTAAAAACAAAGAAGTTTGTCATTTCAGAATTCTGAACAACAGAAACAAGAAACAGAGCTGATCTCACACTCAAAACTGATAGGAAAAATATTTTCTTGTCTTTTACACTTTCTATTCATTGTAAGGCTTATACTTAGCTTGTGCTTAAATGACCTCAATTTCTGCCTGTCTTTAAGGCTTCTCTCTTCTTGTCCCTGTAAGTATCTCTTATTAAGGTCATGGTATTTTGAGCTTATTGGATAACCCATGATGTTTCATCTCAAGAACCTTTGCTTAATTATATCTCCAAAAAATCCTTTTACTACATAAGGCCACTGCCATGGGCTCAAGAGGTTAAGATATGGACATGGCTAGCAGGGACCATCACTCAACTCACTAATAATGAGAAGCAGGATAACACGGGGTGCGGGGTGTGGGGGTATCATTAGGTGTTCCCTCGAAAAGCAGAACATATTTGGATAAACACAGAGCTAATCCTGGAATTTCAGTGCTCTGGGAAATGGAGGTTGAAAGTGGCCATGAAAATGCAGAATGAGGGAGACTAATTCCTTTGTTTTTAGATTGACCCTCAACCCACTTTCAGTTTTAAGACAGTTGTGAACTTGTTTGGCTTGTTGTCTATTTCAAAGCTATGTTTTGAAACATAAACAATGTTGACAATGTTCCCAGTGGCTTCATTTTTTGGATAAGTGAAAGTGCACTGTTTTAGAGGCCAAACTCTCCAGAGGAAAACTTTCTGCATTAGGTCTTTTAGCACACTAACAAGAATACATTTAACATAATTTGACAACTTTCTTCCATTTATTTAATCTTTTCTCCTATTTTAAAATTGGTGTCATCCTGTATTTATTGGGTTGTAAATCAACCTTTACAAACTTAAAATGATGTTGGTATCAGGTTTATAATTTTCTTTTTTTTTTTCAGCTTTAATTGAGTTTATTGGTACATTTTAGGGATACAGTACAGTTACATTCATTGCTGGGATCTCGTACCTCTAGGTTTATAATTTTCTTTTTTTTTTTCAGCTTTAATTGAGTTTATTGGTACATTTTAGGGATACAGTACAGTTACATTCATTGCTGGGATCTCGTACCTCTAGGTTTATAATTTTCAAATATACACACTAACCCCTTAAATGATTCACAGACAGAAATGTATAAATGCTAAATATTATTTTTCTTCTCCTCACCAACAAAGTTATGAGGAAATTAGTCTGAATTCCACTGCATATATGTGAGTTACTTTTAACATTTTCTCTCTATTAAGTGCTCTTAACATTCAATACATTACCTGGCCATATACATTTAGGTACCTTAACGGTCAAAAGAAGGGGTCGACAGATTGAGCTGCACAGATCTTCACCATATTGCTATTTATATTATTAATATAAAATATTTAATTTCCTGACAATGGGCATCTGCTTATTAATATAACAATATTAATATTGTTACATATAATATGTGATGGATACTCTGCAGCAAATTAAACTTGATGTAATATTCTATTAATTGTTGTGGAAAGATGTTTTTATGAGTTGTCGAGTCAATGAAAAAGACTTGCAAGAGAAGCAATAGTAGAATCTAAGATTATTACCTGCTCAAAGTTGTTACCAGTGAATTTCTAGGTACAATTGTGATGATTCTGCTTTCACTGTGTGCCAGGGAGTGCCTGAAAAGAAACAAGACAGGATGGGTATAGAGCAATCTAAACAATTTAAACAGCATCAATTTTCAAAGCATCATAATATTCAAAAAGATATGAAGTTCAAACTCACTCTCTATTTCTTGTGGTGATTGAAATGGAGTGATTTGCTCTGAGTCTCACAACTGGTCATTACCAATGTGGAATTGAAGGTTTCTAACATCTTTGTTTTAGTTCTCACTATTTTCTTATCACCGTTAAACTGACAAATATATCCAGTTGCTACATTTTAAGCATGTGTGAAAATTAGTTCACCCTCAAAGCTTGGGAATATTGACTTCAATGAAACCAAATAGTATTTTAAGGACAGGAAGTTTTGGAAATAATTTATATTCAATTTTTGTCATTGTTGTTGTTGTTATTTCTTCAGTGAATGACTTTATACAAAGTGCTTAACTTTTTCTGAGCCTCTGCTCCTTTGGCTGCAAAACAGAGAGTTACTCTCTATTCCGCAGGGCTGTTTTGAGGCCTAAACAAGGAGAAATTAAGTTGAGGCCAGCAGGAGCCTCTATTTAATGCCCTTAGTCGGTGCCAGCTCTTTCCTTGCTCTCCTTGTGTTGCTCATGGAGACCCCAGCTCGGTCCTACTGTAAATCTGTTTTATGCATTCATTGGGCCCTTTCTGTGCCAAAATGTGTATGTTGAAGTCCTGAATCCCAGTGCCTCAGAACAAATCTCTGTGGATCAAGCCACTTGGAATCGGATCCTCTTTATGGAAGCCCTGGGGAAGTAATACACCTAAAACTTTTGGATGGAATATTACTTGTAATGGCATCTCTTAGAAACCAACCTTTAATCAGGCCCCAATCTTCCACATTGAAGAAAAGTAGGTCAAAAATCTCTTCCACCCAACTCTTAGGTGGTATGTGTTGTTAAGGATAAAAGTGGTAGTAGCTCTGTAACATAAATAATTCTAATTCTAATCTTCCAGTATCTTACTGAGCTTAGGTCATTCATATAGGTTGTGGGGTGTGAAAGAGATACATAGATAGACAGACAGGCAGACAGACAGATAGATCTCCATGTCCATATCTATGCCAGATTATATAATCTAAACCCATATCTACTGTTTTTTAAGAAATATAAGTTTTTTCAGCATTTTTTATCAAAAACTTGCTAAAAACACTATTTTAATAAAATGGGCATATTGTACTCCCTCCTGCATTTCCATTTATGATAATTTGCTAGTCATTAATATATTACTAAATTCCACTTTTTGTTGTATTTTCCAGAGTTTGTCCAATTTCCAGGACATTTCCTTGAGATACTGACCAGACAGGCGATGTCTAAGTCAAAAAGCTATAAAGACTTTTAATATTTTCACACTTATTGCCAAACTGCTTTGCAAGCAAAAAGACCTGCCTGCTCTTTCCCTGTGGGTTTTAATCCAGGATGGCTGTGGGAGCAAGTGAAGGGCTGTGTCCTGGGGGCACTGGGAGCATCCGTGGCCTGCTGCCACATCATGTGATGGGTATCGCTTTACAGAAAGTCCAGAGCCACACACAGTGCTTGCGTAACCTGAGTGGAAATCTCTCCCTTTCACAATCCTGGAACCCAGCACAGAAATGCCATGGAAACTAATTGGTCAGCTCAAGCACAGAGCAAAAGCAGCTCTCTCCCCTCTGCTCTCGGGGGTGTCTCCACTGACCCACACACTTGAGTGTTTAGTTCGCAGATAGCTTTCAATAAACTGTTGTCACTTGAAAATAAACAGTCTGGACAGTGTATGGTGCATTTGAGATACTGAGAAAATAAACAATTGGGAGAATGCTCTCCTCTTGCCTTTGTAACCCTTTCTGGAATATGTGCTCCAGCTCTTTTCCTTTCTTCCTTGCGGCAGCACAACTTTTGGGGATTTTTTTTGTTTGTTTGTTTGGTACCGGGGATTGAACTCAAGTCCTTGTGTTAAGGAGGCAGGCTGCAGAACCATGAGCTAACACCCCCAGCAGTGGCAGAGCAGTTTAATTTAAAGAAAGCTCCTGATTTGGCATTCCTGGGAGATCCTTTTCTAAGGAGATGCAAAAATGAATGGCGCTGGAGTCTTGCTTCGAAGCAACCAGTTCATCCTCCTGCTGCTATTCCTCCTGCAAATTCAGAGTCTGGGTCTGGATATTGATGGTCGCCCGACCGCAGAAGTCTGTGCTGCCCACACCATTTCACCTGGACCCAAAGGTGAGGCAAGGACATCCACACTTCCGTATAGTCAATATGACCTCACCCCCATCTTTTAGCCCATCCTAACCGGTCAACCTTTTGTCCTCTCCCCTCCCATTTCCCTTTGATTTGGGAGAATCAGTAGTCTATTTCTTACTTAAAGCTATCCCTGGAAGTTAGGCAACACAAGGATGGGACAAGGTGCAACCCTGGGGGGAGAATCTGATGAAAGTCACCCAGGGTGGGGGGAAAGTCCCTCTCCCACGAGGCCCCAGAGGAAGATGCGCACTGAAGGCCTTCATCTGTTTCTATTCTTGGGTTGTTTTCCTTTTGTCCTTCCTCATATGGATTCCGGCAAAGTTACTTAGGCAAAAGGTCAATAAAGTAAAAATTAAATCTTAAGTAAACTTTTATTTCATAAGTGTTGGGCTCCTGGGTGCCGATAAAGAAGCTGGGAATTTCTATTGTTAAGGGTTGGAGTAGGATATAAATGAACATTTCTCTATTATTTAAAAGTAGTCTTTGAGGCCAAGTGCCTTTAGCTGAAAAATGATAGAATAGTGTAACGTGTTTCAAGTGGAGTCAAGGTCCAAGGTCCAAATATGCTTCAAGCAACTAGTTGATAAAAAAAAAAAAAATCTGTTTTCTTGTTTTCAGCTCTTACCCTTTTGCTCTGAAAGTGGTCACTGCACTGCAGACTGCTGCAGTCTGATTAGTAATTCATGCCATTTTTCCAGGCCATGAGGTTGAGGAATTGTAGCTGTTTAAAATTTTAAGTAGAAAAAATAAGTTCCTTCCAAATAAAATAAAAAATACATGGCTTGATTCTTGTCAGTTGTTTAAATGTGCATTGCTTAAAGTCCATGTCTTTTAATCAGTGAATTAATTTCCCCCTAAGATTGCAATCCAAGTTTTAACCTTTGATACTATAAAATAAATGCGGGGAGGAACAATGAGACCTCAGTGCTTCCAACTCATTTCTGGGGTGAACAAATGAATAATGCAAGGGCAAATGTTTAGAAAAGAAAGTTTATGTTAGAAAAAGTATTTACTTAAAACCATTGCCAGCGCTCCCACGGAGTGCAGGAAACTTCGTGTTGTGTCCACAGTGTTGTGGATGCTAAAACCGAATGTTTGCCTTAATTGTGCAAATGGGATCGTTGCAAGAAACTCCAACTTTCAAACTGAAAATGTTTGAGACACTGGGTAAAGTGTTGTTAAAATAGTATCCAAAATACAATGCTTTCAGTCTAACACTTCTATTCATGTCGATTTGGCTACCATGAGCTGAGCACTTATTATGGGTCAGGCAATATTTGGGGCACGACAGGTGCATTAGATAATATTAGCATCTGGAGAAATGGAAAGGTAAGGAATTCAGGAGGGGTATAGAGGGCAGAACAGGTTTTCTGAGAAGGCCCAAACTGAGTTGGGTCTTAGACATGATTCTTCCAGGCAGATGGGGGAAGAGCATGTTCCAAGGAATAGGCAGAGATCACAAAACAAGAACAGAAAATGTTTAGCATGCAATTGGGCAAAGGATCCCAGTGTTTGCTTTTGAGAAGTTGCAAAATGTAAGTCAAAATCCTAAATGCTTCCAAGATAAAGCCAAAGAATATACTTTAAAACTTTATGAAGCCACCCTATTTTATGATTTCCATCCATATTTAATATTTGTTGTACATCAGAAGGTGCCCACCTGCAGATGTCCTTGATGTCCACTAGGGGTCTTTTTCATTTTTGTTTTACGGTGCTAGGAATCGGACCCAGGGCCTTCGCATTGAGGTACACCCCCAGACCTTTTTTAACATTCCCTTTTCGAGACAGTTTCCTAAATCACTAAGTTGTCCAGACTGGGCCTGAACTTGGAACCCTCTTGCCTCTGCCTCCCAGAATGCTGTGTCACCTCACTCACCTCCGTCCACCACACATCTTCTCATCCTCATCTCTTCGCTTGCCCCAAAACCGACTTCCTCCCCGTTAGACATCACGCTATGATTTCAGACACTAGAATCCTCCTTAACTCTTCCCGATCCCATGTGGGACTAGGAGATGACCAGCTCGAGTTTGGCAGGAGGAAGATCTGAGAGCACTGGGGAAGGGGAAGAGTTGCTCTAGAACCCTGGGGTCTAGAACTAAGTCTGCTATGGACTCGGGTGCGATTCCCTCTTCATCCTCGGACCCTGGGGGCTTTGCATCCAACGCATCCCAAATTCCCTTCTGAGTGAAGAGATTCCGCGGTCCTGAAGTCCCAGCCATCATGCCAGGTGAGGAAGGTTTAAAGCTAGGACGCAGAGCCAATCGTAGGACTCGAATCTACTGATCAAGCTTGGAATGAGACGGCAAACTTCTGCGGTCGGCGCTCATTGCGCTGTTTAGCATCTGGCACATTTGCTGCTGCCTTTCCTCTGCTCTGGACACTGCATTAGGTGTTGCAGATACAGCAAGAACCATGTCTGGAACCCTCTCTCCAACATAAAGTACTGGGTACAGGATCTCATTCCTTCCTGAGTCCTCACAGCCCCTCTCTAGCCCCGAACAAGGCAGATTTATATATTTAGCTCTACAAAATGAAAAAAGCGTTGATGGCTAAGTGAAGATTTTTAAGAACTGGGTTGTAGTTTTTGTTCAACACATATTTTCCTTTGATCAAAGTCTTTATTTTTCCCCCTGGCTAAGCATCTCATTGCTGTATCCCTTAGCACTGTGGCACTGAGCTCAGAAATTTCTAGATATCGCCAGGCGTGGTGGCGCACACCTGTAATCCCAGCAATCAGGAGGCTGAGGCAGAAGGATCGCTGTGAGTTCGAGACCAGCCTGGGCTACATAGTGAGTTCCAAGCCAGTCTCAACTACATAGTGAGACCCTGTTTCAAAAAACCAAAAAAAAAAAAATCTGATATTCTAGGAAATAGGCAGTAAAAAGAATGTACTCTAAGTTCATTTAGGAGAGTGGAAACTAAATAAATTATTTAGAGTCGCAGATGAAAAGCATGAATCCTATCCAGTTATAGAATCTCTTGTCCAAATTACAGACATACTTTTTCCAGTATTTTATCCTAAGCTTGACTCATTGGAAAGAAAGGAAGTGGATTCCATCTGTCTGATCTTCAGCATGTTGTCATATCTGTGATTCAGCTTCTTTGTTTTTGGAATGGACCCTCAGCAGAGACTTGTCTTAAAAATAACATAAAATGGGGCTGGAGCTTTAGCTCAGTGGTTCTGCCACTTGCCTCGAAAGCCCAAGGTCCCAAGTTCGATCCCTGGTACCAAAAACAAAACAAACAAACAAAAAAAAACATAAAATGATCAATATAAATGTAAGTTGTATAGATGTCATAAAGACTTTTTCTCCCTATAGAGTAACAGTTTTGGAGATATTGTTCCAATTATCAAAACCATATTGTTTAAACACCAATTATTTTTCTTTCTGTGCCTCAATTTATTACTTTATTCTGCTTAGCTGGAAAAAAAAAAAAAGATGCTCTTGTTTTGATTTTTTTTCCCCCTACTTTGGTGGTTTCTTTTTTGCAATTGATGTGAAACTCTGACCTCTAGTGGTTTAACTCAAAAAGAACAATGCCAAGAAAGGAACTGAAAATTTAAGTGTTAAAGATAGTAAGAAATATTTGGGAAATGCTCTTTCAATTTTCAAGGAAATTTAAAATGTATTGTCTTATTCAATATCCACTTGCTGGATGTGGCAAGAATTTCTTAAGCATGAGGACACAAGCTCAGACAGGGCATTCAGGAGATAGAGTCAGTCAGCTTCAACTTGACCCCTGGCCTTCAGACTCTGGGGCTACTGTCATCCCATGGCATCCACTAGTTTACATGAGCTTTATACTGGCATGAAAAACATGCTCCATGGGCCACATTTTGGCGTAAGATCTGGGTAGGAAAATGCCTAAGAACATGGAGTTCGTGCAACCTTACAGCCCAACAGTTGCTTTGGACCCTAAAACGAGCTGAAAGAGAAGGCAAGTCTCCTCTTTAATCATTAACTTCAGTGTGTCATTGGTCCATTTGGAAAGTGATACTGTGTGCCCTGTTCCTTACTTTGGCTTCTGCTAGCCTCTTAGTTTAGGAGCTTTCTCCTTTCAATGATGTGTGTGTGTGTGTGTGTGTGTGTGTGTGTGTGTGTGTGTGTGTGGCCAAGAAGGGCCTTTCTAGCTGGCTTCTCCCCACTGACCCCATGTCACTGCAAACTGCTTTGTTCCCTAAACTTTTCTCTGAGCAAGTGGCCTTGTCTCTCATTCCTGCCTCAGGGCCAGGCTCTCTGTGTCCCCTCTGCCTGGCCCATCTTTACCTCCGCTCTTCCCAAGGATCCTTGCTTCTCCTCCTAGAAGTCTTAGCTCTGAGCCATTCGCACAGCACAGCTCTGCCTGCCTGCGCCCTCTGCTGTCCCTACAGACTTTTCCTGAAGGAGATTCTCTGGGTCTTCTTGCAGTCGGACCTGAAGTGCAAGCTTCATGAAAGCAAGCACAACTCTGTCCTTCTTGCTAAGTGTTTTTCCACGGCCTCAAGGACTTCCTGACTCTGACACTGTGCTTCGTGGGTGCTCAGTAATAATTGTTAATTAAATGAACCCAAATGTTCTAACATCTCCGATTTTAGCAGCAGTTCAGCTGATAAAATAACTTCAAAATATCCTCCATGTCCTGCAGCTCCTGAAAGTGTCACTCATATTCCCTATAAAGGACTGCTCCTGGGGGCCACTGTCATTGTGCCCCTTCTCCAGGAGCCAAAAGACCCTCCCAGCAGTGCCCTTGCTTTCCTCCTAAGTACAGTGGTGCCACCCTTCCCGGAACCCCATCTCAACCCAGCCCAGCCAAAAGCGGGCTGCAAACGCCTTCTGTAGGGAGAGGTTTTCACTGCTTCTGAGAATGCTATTGTCAAGGCCCTTCCTTGCCCTTTGTCCCAGAGCTGCAGGCACAGGTTAGAATTCACTGGTTAGATTTGGATTCTGGACACCAACCTGGATGACAATCCTTCCAACCGGCACACAAGCAGGGCTGC